AGTATAATATTCTGTTTTAACATCTAAGTGTTCAATGAAAATATACAATATTGTGGTCTACATAATTTAGCCATGGTTTAGGGACTTTTGGGTAGTCCAGTGTTTGAAGAGCGGAGTCATAGCCAGGTTGAAGGCCAGACAACCACAATTTCAACATGAGCACAATTTGTGAAGCCCGTTCTCGGTGTGTGTATCTTCATGATATTCACAAAGGTCACTGTGTTGCTGTAATAGTACGGAAGCTTAATAAAACCACATAACCTCTGGTCGAGGGGTTAGAAATAAATAATAGTTACATAGTAAAGAATAAAAAAGCTGTACCCACTTATACTCGTTAAATATTGACAAGAATTGTGTCCCAGAAGGAGGAATGTATTACGCATGCATCGTGATGCAGCATCCCTTGTTGCCAGGGACGCTGGCACAGCTAGCACTATGTCGCCATGCAGGCTCACGGAACGTGGAACTGCAATTGATTTATTGATCGTGTGGATTCCATGAGAGAACTTCGATTTTGTAAATGACTAAAGGCTTTATATTTACATCAACGTGCTATAAATGGTATTGCTTTTGCGGAAGTTGGAAAGAACACGTGGCCTTCCAGAACGAGTGAGTGAATGCAGTTTATGTCACAGCAGTATTCACGGAAGTTTGTAAATCATCCAATCTGAGACAGTGTGTTAAAACACCTATGAAAATAAGACATTAAGACATTTATTAAAATACCAATTTAATTGTTTTAACTCAATTTTCTTCGAATCCAACATAATTCCCCACATACTGTCACAAAGCAATCCTCATGAATTGGTTCTTGTGTTAAACATTGGAGCCAGAGGGCCAAAAACTGCCCGGATTTCCACAGTATCTCAGTGTTCAAATGTGAGGTGAGGTGAAATGGGGTTTAACGTCGCGTTAAAGAATGTTGTTTGAACAAATAGGGACGTGCAAGCACGTGCGTGCTTGTGTGTTTGTGTGTGTACTTGTACTAGTCCATAGTTGTACTACTACCGCAGTTTAACATGGATAGTGTACAGTGTACTGACTTCGAGCAGATCAGTCAATGTTTTATCCCCTTAATGCCTAGCGCCAGGCAAGGGAATAACAGTATTTTGAACATCCTTTGGCATGACCTTTCGCTATCCTGGAAGACGCTGTATCCACTAGACCACAGAGGCGGTCTCCGTCCAGAATGACACATACATTATGCACATGTCTACATACAAACAAGCTGCCGTGTTACTGTTTACGAATATTATGCATCATCTTTTTCACACTTGGTAGCACTCTGACAGTAATTAAATAGAAGACCATCAGTTTCACAACTTAATATAATCTATTTGTCCTTTGAGATTAGTTTGAGTGAGTGAGTTAGTTGTGTTTCAACGCCGCTATGACCAATATTCCAGTTATATAAAGGTGTGTCAGCGTAACGTGAAAGGAAAGCCCTTAGTGATGCAGCTCTCAGACTCAGAGAGACGTTTACCACATTCGTGAACCCCACGAGCACTTATATGGTGCTGACAAACCTAGAAAGATATCGGGAAAAACCGTGATTCGAACCCGTGATCACAGGTTTCTTACGTGTCCAAGAGACGTTAGAGCAACCGTCAATTCGTCGCAAAGTCCCTCTAACACATATGTTTCTCTTGCGCCCGACCCTTACTGTAATGCTACAGCCCCAAATAAAGCAAGTCTAGATATGCCATGGGTTCGGGATCTTCCATCTCACTGGGGCTCTGTTCAATTCAAATGTAGCTGCTTGTTTCTGACAAAAATATGTTTTCAGAGACAAAGCGTTAGTCTATCGCCAACAGTGTGACTCAGTTGTAACAGCCGCAGACTGCGACAACCATGAAGACAGGGATTCACAGGAGTTCTAGTTAGGTCACACTTGGTTGGCATCAACGACAATCAAACCAACAAACCACATCGATATATTACCAACTGGAGAATTATCTTGAGGCATCAGCATCAACTTGAGGGATTGTTGTTTTTCGATCAACAATAGTTCAGCTATATCACAGCAACAGTCGATATCGACAACAAATATATATATATTTCCCATCACCAGAAAATAAAATGTTTTGATATGACAGCTAAGTTTGGTTAAACGCCGCTTTGAATTTAATTCATAGCCTGTCAGATTGATGGTACCCTAAGATGCAGACCTCAAACATTGGACACATTGCGAAACCGACGAGCACGGAAAGGTGACATTGTGTCATATATGACCATCAATACTGCAAGGGCTAACATTTTTCACACACAACTGTCCTATACATCATTACACAAACATGAGCATTTGACTTGGATTCAATCGTTTATAAATATTTTATCCTAAGATGCAATTGTTTCTCTGCGCTTTTGCAGACATCACACATGATCGCGTATTTTTGCAAGAGTGTTATGTGTTAATATTGGATGTTGACTTGAAGCGTCAGATGTGTCAGATGTGTTTCTATCGTAACGTAGTGGGGAATGTATCAGTAAAACCAAGTAGCCTGTATTTATGAGGATTATGGTATATAATACGTTTCACATATAATACAGTGACTATTAGCTCCTAAACCTCGTTCTACTAGTGTTTTATAGCTAAAATAAACCTCATTGATAGCATTTGCCGTTCTAATTTGGAAACATTTATGGCAACATAATACGTTGTGGAAATTAGTTTCTTGCGCTTTATCATCATTACAAAGGAAACGGCATCGAATTTCAGGAAAGCAAGTTCTGGCCCTCGACTGAAGAATGTGTAATAGTGTTGGCAATTACGATAGGCACGTGTTTAAACTACACTTATTATATCATAAAGCCGAGTAAGGGGATATCGCATTTTTCATATACCAGTGGGGCTGTCGGGTAGCCTAGTGGTTAAAGCGTTAGCTCGTCACGCCGAAGACCCGGGTTTGATTCCAGACATGGGTACAATGTGTGAAGCCCATTTCTGGTGTCCCCCGCCGTGATATTGCTGGAATATTGCTAAAAGCGGCGTAAAACCATACTCACTCACTCACTTACTCATTCATATACCAGTGTACTGCTTCCAACAACAGGAGGTTCGCCATTTTCCATCTAGAGACCATGACCCAGTTCCACAAAGCGATCGTAGAGCAAAGATGATCGTAACTCCTGTGCTTTAACCTAGACTTAAGACAGTCGTATAGCAACAATCGCCTTGTAGAACGGGGCCCAGTAGTACCACATAAGTCGGATCATTTTGATAAAAAAAAATTCCATTCTTTGGATTTGGCTAGGAATATATAATTACCATTAACAATAAAAAAAGGTGTCCGGCTTAACAAGGTTCAACGGTATATACTGGTCACTTGGTTCTAACCGGACATATATCGTAAGCGTGTTGTGTGTAGTCACAAAATGTCATAGGGTGTTTCCTCTGCTTGTGTGAGTCGTTTTGTCTCCATTGACTGTTGTCATCTACAGCTATGTGAAAGACACTGTATTACTGCTGCGGTTACCGTTGCCACCCACAGTGCGAACATTGATTTACAAGGACAACCTGACAGAGAGTGTTTACCAATAGTTAGTATCCTACAACGTCTTAGCTTAAACTCCAAACACGCGTCTACATATATTGTTGAAAAGCTCATCGACCCTGTGTAAATAGCCATTAAATATTACCGGAACAGCTGACAAACACACCACGAACAATAGCCAGGAATGTTAGACTAAGACAAGTTGTATTTAACCTCGTTAAGACACAAGACGTTATTTACGACAACGAGGCCTCCCCATGGACTAGAAAGATAAAACTATATTTTGGGCTGTTGTCGTTTCGTCCGTCTTGGTGTAATGAAGAGTTCAGTCACATGGGTATTCAATAAACTGTATATATTTTCATTAAATATATTATTCACGTTTCGGACTAGGATAGACAGGTTATCATTGCATTTACAATATGTCTTTTTTACTTACATTCTGCATAGTATACACCAGTAGTATAGAACGGCTTACACCGTCATTTTTATAAATGGAGATGATCTTTGTTCAGTTCTGTTTCTCCCTGAATGAGGTAAAATCATGTTGTGTTTGCTGTACGATATAATGGGGAGTTGCCGAATATTTGTCTGAAGACTACAGGAACTACGTAGAGATCCTTCTAGAATATTCATAGTTACAATTTACAGGTTTCCTTTACTCACTTTCTAAACAGATAGCCCGATAACGTCTTACAGATATACAAGTCCGATTCAGCTGCTATCGGAGATATCAAACCCAAAATGAAGACAGAATTGTACTCTATAAATGCCAATGAATTGATGTATGAAGAGACGCAACATCCCAACCCAATAACGGGGGCCTCTGAAACGTCGAATTTGAACCAAATACATGGTATTTAGCATTAGCGTCACTCAAAATGAGACATCTAATCAACTAGGCCATGCATTCTACCCACCCAATCCTCATTATTCAATTCATACGCGGACATGGGGTTCTGGGGACATTTTCTGTCCCGGAAGCTCCACTTAAACTGGTGTTACCTAGTGCCCATCCAACGAATAGTATTGGTAGCTGAAGAACAATTTTGTTTCACATTCCACAGCGGGAAGAAAGACATGAGGTCCCTGGCAGAGACGAGGGGCCACGAACGCATGCACGCACGCACGCACGCACACATGCACGCACGCACGCACGCACGCACACAAACACACACACACACACACACACACACCGATCCCTGACACAAACATGGCTATTGGGGTTTTGAGTCTGCTCTGGAATACCCATTGGGCCATGTAAGAGAAACAAGAGAAATTAGTATTTCATTTCTTACTAAACAATTCACAAACACATACTGATATGTCAAATAGTTAAAATATATCACAATGTAGGTACATTGATTGAAAATCGCCTGATCACATCACCACTTGATTCATTCATTACCCACGCAACAAGCCACCCGAGTCGTGATGGTTGAGCTGACAGTCGTGATTAACAAGCCTTCAAATCAACACGCTAAACAGATGACTGCTAATGCATACCTTATAGATAACGGTATCCGTGTCTTCCTCCATTTGGTCTGTCAGAATGCACAGTACAAGTCCTGTAACACGTTTAGCACAGTGCCATCATTGAGCGCCATTGAAACTGTCGTCTGCTACAACCCCTGTCGTCTGTTTGTTTGTAGGACAACCGTGATGTGACGTCACAGTCCCTAAACACCGTCCAAGAGGCTTAAAGAACAAAGGCGACATGACACGCTGGTTTGGGAGCGCATTAATCTGTAGTGGAACTTGATTAACCTATTTGATTATTGGTCCAGCAATTAAGATTACAATGCAGCATAACTCGACTGCAAGAAATTACTGGCATTCCACATAAAGAGCAGGCTTAATCCTGGCAGGCATGTTGACAAGGCACTGTGTCTATCCCACCCGGTTTAGACGTTCTTAAAGAAACCTTTGTTTACATGAAATTCTTTGATGGCGAAAGATCGATGGTAGAAACAAGGTTTGAGGGTTTAAGAAGAGGGTTTTAGCATTCGTAGGCAGAGGTTTGACAACAGATGTCTGTGGTAAGTGTTGTCACTCGCTCTGATTACTCGAATCGAGTGATACGCACAATCAGATCAAACGGTCCCATGGTTAGGTCCAGGCAACGCTTGCGGAATAGTAGATGTCGATCATCGATCTGTTCCATTTTACAACACCCGAACAATGACAGGCCTACCCCAGGCGATATGCCGATTGTATGGTTAATCGAGGGCAACTATGAATAATGGAAACCAGTGAATATACGTTTTGGGGGTTCAAAAGATTGCAACCTCATTATTTCAATTAGCGATATTAATGAAGGCATTGTTGACGTATAATGGAATCTGATTGCAACAAAACGGTTTCCAGATTAGGTCTGAAAGGTAACAGTCAGCAAACTGGTTTGCGTGACAATTTCACGTGAATCACGTGCAGTATCGGCAGACGAACACCTGTCACCTGTGAAATATACATCAGAGGATTACGGACAAGTGCAGATAGGCACCTGGCATAATTAGCTAGTGTTCAGCATAGATTTGCTATCGTGACTGTAGCTTTATTTTTAAATAGCAAATGTGACACATTGTGTGATAAGGAACTGCTTGAAATTAATTGAATTGTTTTTAGTGTGTTCAAAATGTATTCCTAGACGAAGGATAGTTTGAAATGGGGATGCAGGCGGAAAAGGTTTTGTACTTCGGCGTCAAACTTTGACATGCAGGATCTGCGGCGACCCGAAATATTGCGTGTTGAGAATGGGTCTTCAGCAACCTATGCAAGTCGTAAGAGGCGAATATGCTTGTCGTAAGAGGCGACAAACGGGATCGGGTGGTCAGGCTCGCTGACTTGGTTGATGCATGTCATCATATCCCAATCAGATTGTGTGAAAGGAGTAACGAAGATCGGGTGGATGACCTCCCTATTGTGTGAAACGAGCAGTGAAGATCGGTTGGATGACCTCCACACAATAGGGAGGTCATCCACCCGATCTCTATTACTCCTTTCACACAATTGGGAGGTCATCCACTCGATCTCCATTGCTCCTTTCACACAATCCACCTTATTTTCTATGACCAGGCGATTTACGGGATCGGGTGGTCAGGCTCGCTGACTTCGTTGATGCATGTCATCGTATCCCAATTGCGTGGATCGATGCTCATGAATCACTAGATTGGCTGGTCCAGACTCGTCATATAGATGGAATATTGCTGAGTGCAGCGTTAAACAAATTGCAACCAAAATCTAATTAGACTGGTTTTGATTAAATTAGAAGGAAATGTTCCATAGTCATGATACAGGACTACAAATATCGTGTCACTTAATTTTTTTTATAGCGGCTGGTCTATATAAACGCTCCTTTGGCCGTCAGACGGATTCTTGTACCCCCCGCAGTGAACCTGTGACGGCGGGGGACTTCCGGTTAAATCAGACTTAAATGCTGCGCATCGGGACCGGAAACTGGGGGGTTGGCGCTTGACTTGCAGGTTGCCTATGTCATGAGTGATTGACGTGTTTATTACAGCTGATTGAACACCTACTGTAGTCGCTGAATGTCATTTCCGTAACGTTCATTCTACCATTCAAATGTAACAAACAGGTAAGAAATTAATTCGTACAATAATCGAACATAGTCACGTGAACATTTATTTTTTATTTGGACTTCAATCAGTCAGAGAAAATATACCGATCAGTATATGATCTCTGATTCTGTCTATTTTACATTGTTGGACAGAACAATACTTTAAACGACAATAACCGGAATAGTCAATTAGCCATTCGTTAACGTTCTCATCTTTCCTAACTAACGAGTGCATTCGGTACCCCTCGCATCTTTCCTTTTATAATGCCGATGATGTGTTCTTGTGTGTTGCACGTGGTTCTTTTACGTAATCGCGGTGATGTTCTTGCGGGTTGTAATGTGTGTTCTACGTCATTGTTTTACGTGGTGTACGTAATCTATACGGTTTTGTTAGTCCATTACATGTTTAACATCATCTGAAGTTTTCATATAATTCGACTGTGTATACATTTGCCAAAACTTAAAAAACATGAAATGTTTTCTCGTCGGTACTGGTACCAACACATCTTTTCCTTTCTTAATATCACATATTTCTTCATCTTCCTGTTCAGCAACTTATAGCAACCAGGAACTGCGCCCTGGCAACGCAGACACACGGAGTGCAGTCGATACAGGGCTGTCGATGGGCAGTTGCACAGATTGGATGTAACGTATACATCCTCTTGGGTTGGGACTTGCGCTGCGTGTGCCTCTGGCTCGTGGATGGACTTGCCTCCAGAAAAGGTGATATCTATGTTGGCTTTGTTCTGGATGAGGCGGGAAATCTGATAAGTGACAGGGCCTTGGTAGGATATGGTTATTCTGATGGGCGATGGGGCAGGTTTGGGTCTAGGAACATTCTTGAGGGTCTTGCGGAACGTTTTTGAGATTATGTGGGCAGGGTAACTGTTGAGGGCAGTGAAGGTTTCCTTGAGGTGAAGGTTTTCCTCATTATAAAGACGTTGACATCCATGACATGTATGTTTAAGACGATGGTACTTTATAGGTCCACGAAAAGCTGTATACCACCACTGTGGTCCAATATCGCCACCCTCTGCTGGATTCGAACCAGATCCCCTGTTTGTCTTCAACTGGGTCTTCCGCTTGTCTAGGCCTAGCCCAACCGCTTGATTCGAACAATGGATATCTTGATACATTTCGATTGTCCCAAGGAACTTCGACAATATCAATTTAACATCATCTTAATAGGTCTTCAAGATGCGAATGTTGTTCAGAGGAAAACAGAAGTAAACCATTCATCTCCATGGAGAAGCCATTTGTGTGCGTGTAGTCTGTTGCGGGGTGCGCTCAACGATTTTTTTCCTTCATGTGTATTCAACATATCTTGATGTTTGTCGGGAGAGATCGCGTCAGCGCCCTTTGTCGCGCAATGGAAACATTGATTCGCATGTAGTGACAAGAGATAGAAACAAAGTACCCAAAATAACACGAAGCATCTACCATTGAGTAGCTTGTTGAATGGCACAAACGCAACCATAGTGGTTGTGGGGTTGTCACGTGCCAAAGCTGCAACTCGCTCTCCTGTAGATACGCCGTGATTGAAGGTGTGTTAATGTTTAGAAAAAAACCGAATAAAGAATTAGGTTTTAGGATAACCTGCCCCGGCTAAAAGCGGATGAATCATACATTTTTAACAATATAAATAATTAATAGAATAGGTGACAAGCAACTTATCAAATAAATCACTTCACATGTGAGTCACGAGAAACGGGTAAGTTTTTGCAATCTTGTTTCAAGCGAGTACTCCCGTGTATATATTGAACCTCGTGGTTATTCCGTTTCCGTTTCACACACACACACACACACACACACACACACACACACACACACACACACACACACACATTAACCCCATTTCATTGCACGACAGGTAGTCCTGACATCACTGCAAAACATATTGAGTGCGGCATAAAATAGTATTCACTCACTAAAAAGTACAGATGAAGATCCTATGCAGACACCTTTTACATGTCAGGTGCCGGAACATGAGACCCCTTGTGGGCGGATACCACTTAGCTGGTGACAACTGATTCTCCAGTGATGCCTGACGCGGTAGGATCGACAGTAGTTGTAACCGAGGGTATTTTAGAAGTCTATCTTGCAAGAACTTTCCGTTTACAACATGCGATATTGATCGATCAAAACAAGATATTTCCATCCACTTGACAACACGCCAGTTGTCCTACATAGTATTGATGTTTCACCAACTGTTGACGACGATGTTGTTTTAATGGTAACCATAATACCACTGAGGACTTCTCTGACTTGCATGGAGCTGTGAACAATGACAACCCATAAATGCAATATTGAATGACGTGTTGAGCACTGCTTGATCATCGGTAAACCTAGGGGCACGATTATATCATACTTGAGATTGGTATATATGCTCGAGCCATACATGCTCCATGTGCTGGAGATCGTACGTCGGTTTAACACTGACTGAGGATCTTTACAGACGAGCTAGATGGCTATCTACAATGAAATTGTAAGGTATGGTCTAACACTGACTGAAGATCTTTTCAGACGAGCTCCATGACCATCTACAATGATATTGTAAGGTATGGTCTAACACTGAGGAAAGATCATTACAGACGAGCTACATGACCAACTACAATGATATTGTAAGGTATGGTCTAACACTGACTGAAGAACTTTACAGACGAGCTACATGACCATCTACAATGATATTGTAAGGTATGGTCTAACACTGAGGGAAGATCTTTACAGACGAGCTACATGACCATCTACAATGTCGATGCTTTACATGTATGTCATGGAAACCGTACGTGGGTCTAACACTGACGGCAGATCTTTACAGACGAGCTTCATGACCATCTACAATGATTATATAAGGTACACCTTAGAAATCGTACGTGGGTCTAACACTGACGGCAGATCTTTACAGAAGAGCTTCATGACCATCTACAATGATTATATAAGGAACATCTTAGAAACCGTACGTGGGTCTAACACTGACAGCAGATCTCTACAAACGAGCTTCATAACTATGTTTAGAAGAGTAAATGGCGTTTCTCCCTGACGTCAGGTCAGATATATACTGACCGCCAAAAGAAACGCGAACTATAGAAACATAAGTAGAAATTCGTAAGCTCTGAAGCAAAGTTTCAAATGTGTACCAATTAATGACAAAACTAACAATCAGTCAAGTGTATTCTTATCACGATATGCTTACACGCTAACCCTGCATGATACAAATGGTGCATCTCGAGTCAGGGCTCTATGACATCACATGTGAAGCGTTCAGGAGCGTCGGTTCACATAACATACCAGTGTGTTCTTTAATCTTCGCTTTAATTTTGTCGACGGGCGTATATCCTAAATGCATCATTCTAGCATACTTGTGTCTTTTAGACGTTACTTCTATTTTTAGTATAAGCTGTAGAACATGAGGATACATACTACGTTTGTTTCTCTGTGAGACAGTGAATAATGTTTAACGTCAACTAATGTGAACTAATCACGACGACCTGACAATATTCGAGTGTGGACAAGAAAAAACAGTGGTTGATATTATGAGCATCGCCAATAGACGATTTACTCACCCATTTACTCTTTAGCTGACGGCAACTGCATGTATTCCTTTCAGCAATAATAAATATGAGGTTCGTACATATAGCTGTACAGTGTACGCTTTACCATTGTAGATGCAGGACTAAAAGGAGTGAATGTTGTTTTACGTCACAGTTCGCACGATTTCAGTTACCTCGAAGCGACCTGTAAATAATTGGGTTTGTGTCAGATACATCAGTGGTTCATCCCGTGAGCAGACCGCCTCCGTGGTCTAGTGGTAGAGCGTCCGCCCGGGGAGCGGAAGGTCCGGGGTTCGATCCCCGGCTGCGTCATACCAAAAGACGTTAAAAGATGGTACTTGTTGTTACCCTGTCTGGCGCTCGGCATTAAGAGGCTAAAACAAGGACTGGTCGGCTCGGAGTCAGTATACTGTGTCTGAGTGGGGTATTCATGTTAAACTGCGGCATGGTATCTCAGTGAGCTAGCGCTATTAATCGGCATCCGGACTAGTACAAGCAGCCACACACACACGTGCATGCACGTCGCCATATAAGTGCAATAATCTTGGACGCGACGTTAAACCCCATTCAACTCACCTCATCCCGTGAACACGATGCATGCCATCTGGACAAGATTTCCCAAAGTCAACAGGGTTACACATTGTACCCAAGTGATCTCCATTCGTAGAAACATTTGGAATTGGCCTGCATCGGAATCCCGGCAGGGCAATAAGCCACATTGAGCATAGGATTACAAAACGAGCGACGATCGAAGCATACCTGGACCGCCTCCGTGGTGTAGTTGACAGAGCGTCTGCCTGGAGAGCGGAAGGTTCGATCCCCGGCCGCGTCATGTTGAAGAGGGTACTTGTTGCTCTCCTGTCTGGCGATCTGAGTATAAATCGGGTATCCGTGTAAAACTGCGGCATGGTATCTCGGTAAGCTTGGACCGTCCGGACTAGTACAATCACGCACGCACGTGCATGCACGTTAATCTTCACACGATATTAGATCCTATTTCACCTCGCCTCACTCAAGCATACCCGAATCGCTCTCCTAAACGCACTGAATAATCTGACGACAGGAAGGCATCAATCAGTCTGTTTGATATATGAGAAAGACATTCGATATACACTTGTTGGACACAACCTCTCCCTACATTGCCATTGTATGCGTTTAAACATTATAACCCTTGTAAAGTATATAAAATGTATCTTGTTGTACAAGTATTACAACCTGCTGTATGTAACTTTGTATTCTTTTATATGTACTTTCTATATGTTCCTTTATATTTTTCAAAATATTTGTAATCCCTTGTTATTTTTGTTTGTTTCATCATGTGTGCGAAATGTATATGAAGTTTACTTCCTCGTGACACTCAATAAACATTGCTCTCTGTCTCTGTGTGTAAAGATTCCCCCGCGTGTTAATATTAAATTGATTCATTTGATGGGAATGACGGCGTGGCTGCAAATTTATCGCCTATCATGTTTATCTATTAACGTTAATGGGTACATTAAGGTGTGATCGATGTTACGGCAGTTACAGTGTGCTGATGATGTTCATTCTAGTCTAGTGAGACGTTGCTATCAGGGTACTACAGATCCGGTGAAAACAACCCAAACGGATATAAGTAAAACTTCAGAAAAAGACAATCACATGGTTGAGGCCCTTGAGACCAATGGCTGCACGAGCACGATCCACGCCGAGGATGCACGGTGACAGTCAGATGAACTGATGTGAGGATACTATCACCGTCTGTGATCTCCTTCGTCGAGCACTTTATATCAGACCTGGACATCCATAAATTAAAATGCCTGAAAAAAGGGGTTACCCTTATATCACCCCGTAGAGTACACTACGGTTATAACGAACTCAAAGGAACCATTAATGTTAGTTCGTTATATGCATATATACAGCATATAAATAGCAAATGGACGGACCCCAAAGCAGTTCGTTATAAGCGTGTTCGTTATAAACGTAGTTTATCAAGCCTCGCCATATACGGTTGTGTGAGGGTGTTATCAAGCATCAATGTGTGAGGATGTTACAAAAATAACCTCGTGAGGGTAATATCAAGCATCACAGTTTGAGGGTGTAATCAAGCATCAGTGTGAAGGTCTGATCAAGCCTCATCGGGTGAGGCTGTTATCAAGTACCACTGTGTGAGGTTATCAAGCACCACTGTGTTAGGTTATTATCAAGCCTCATCGTGTGAGGTTGATATGTTTATAGAGTTCTGTGCTGCTTAACAAGCCTCACAGTCAAACCTCTGTGGGAATCGGAAACCACTGACAGTTAACAGTTAAGGCTGGAGGAGACCTTACCCGATGATGCTGTTCGATGATTTTACAGCCCCTTCACTTACTAACCCCAGAAAGTCAACACCGTGTTTATCTGCTTCCTGCAGCTTCCCATTTGTATCATTTTAATCACAAAGCATAGAGATGAGCTGAGAGAGATGAAATGACCTTTGGCCCATGGGTATGCCCCTCCTACAGACCTTGATTCCATGACAGTAATATAAACCCTGGTGTAAGGGTGATGGGAGACAGGCTCTGAACAATAGACTGCAGAAGCAGAGACGAAACGAGTGAGTTGGGTTTACTCCTCTTTTAGAAATATTCCAATAATATACAACAGGGGGACACCAAAATTGGGCTTCAAGTCATTGTGACCATGTGGGAAGTCAAACCCGGGTCTTCAGTGTGATGAGCAAATGCTTTAACCACTAGGCTACCCAACTGCTCCAGAAGCAGAGAAAATGGAGATGCAAAATATAATGCAAAGCAAACATTTTATCATCATATTTTTTATTTGCACACCGTGAATCATTATACAAACCATATCGCAGAAGGCAACGACAGAGCAAATAGCACAGAACAACCAGGGACTTTGTCTCTAATTAATCACAGACATTATAATCAATAATCATGTAATAAATATCCCTCGTAATCAGTTTTATGTCAAATACAAAATACAATGAAAGGACCCTTAAGCATTTAATGTATGACAGTTATGTTGCATTAGGAATAATGTTTACAAGCCTGATTGACAATAGTCCTCAATTGGTTCTAACTCCTAGTTTCAAAGAGGACATATTGGGTTTTTTTTAAAAACCTTTGGTATATTTCATAATTGACTGATTAACATATGAACAGAATAATATCTACTTTTTTCTGAACTTTCTGTGAATAGGCATGAAACAATCCACAGTGGATCCATGTCTTAAGAGTATAAAAACAATGTACTGAGACATCCATAGCATGAGATAACCAGTTGTACCTCATTTGTGAAATGGTGGTGGATGGAAAAACTCAGGCAATACCTACCCGTGTACAGGGGGGTCGTCTTACACGTGGGGTCGCCTTATACACAGCGATATACGGTACTTGCTTACCTGAACAGTCCGATCTACTCTAGACTGGGGTACTCTCTGCAATGTTATTGTCAAGCAGAGCGCTGGTCATTCTAGTAGAGGAACATAGTCTTATTGGTGATATCAAGTTCTTGGAGTTTGAGGTACCAATGTCTAACTGTGCTTGCAATCCAAAGCTTTGTTACGAGTATTCAAAATATATTAATTTGACAACATGTAACTGACTTACAATACTACTGACAAATATCAAAATATCACAAGTGCTATATACCATTCCAGCACACATAATCTACTGCTGCCCGACACTGTCTTCATAATGGAAGGACTTGTCTTTTATACAGCATCGATAGATTGTATACATGTAAATATTATATCTACATACATTAACACACTATGCTGCCTGTCATCAGTGCTAAGCCACACTGCATTGACAAACAGCAAGAAACAGCAACTCTTGCCTTGTACAGTGTTGTGACCTTAAAATACATCACCATGATCAATATATCTAATATTTCTAATTTTGACCAGTACCTCAAGTAATTTTTTCACCCACCAACCCAGGCGGTCTGTCTAGAAAGTTGCAGGCCCAGTGTTGTAAACACATGCATGATAATCATTACCATTTTTCTCATATTTACTTTCCTGTGTGCCTTTGGAACTTACAGTTTTATAATCACAGCGGTAACCCAAGCTGTAGGGTCAGTGAATCACATGGCAATGTCTGATTCAAAATTGCCAGTGTCAGTGAAAAAATAAAATATATTATGAGTGAGTGAGTGAGTGAGTTGGGTTTAACGCCGCTTTTCACAGTATTCCAGTTATATCACGGCGTGTCAGCTTAATGTGGGAGGAAAGCCCAAAGTGATGGAGGTCTCAGACGTTTACCACTTCGGTGAAACCCACGAGCACTGGTATGGTGCTGACAAACCTAGAAACATAATCGGGGAGAACCGGGATTCGAACCCACAATCATAGGTTTCTGGCGTGCCCAAGGGACGCAACTCTGCCCTATATTATGAGACAATCTTGCAGATAGGGATGTCCCAACAGAAATGTTACCAGCCATGGGATAATGGGCAGGCAGTAATTCTGGACACTCTTTCTGACATAAGGAATATAAGTATAAATAATGTACTCCGGGATCCAGATAGCATTAGCCTTGAACATTTCATTGGAAATTTCGATGTTTTAAAGGGGTGAATTTCTGTGAATTGTTCCTTGTGTGTGTGTCCAAGAAACAATTCACAGAAATTGCCCAAATGGTGGTTTTCAAGATCACAGACTTCTGATGATGGGCAGAAGACTGACATTCCTGTCTTCTAGCTGAACTTGGAAAAATCTTTTAATGTTATAATTTACAATCATACATATTTTTTCCAATTTTTTAAATTTGACTATAGGGTTTTTACAATGCTATTATTTCAAGTGCACTAGTCCCTGGTTTACACAGCATAGGAAGTTCTTCTTGAAGGCCTACTTCCACTTCACTAATATAGTGTCGCCATTTTCCAAGGAGTAAAAAGACAGTGCTCGAAGATCGTTGTCAATTGGAAACTCAGCATCCTCAACCTAAAACAGATTAATAAAATGACACTTAGACCAGTGTGTATGTGTTTGGTTTGACGTTGCTTGGAATAGTTTAATGTGGGACAAAGGCCTAAAGTCATGCAGGTCAGACACGTTTACACCTTCAGTGAAACCCATGAACACATGAATGGTACTGCCAAGTCAAGGATCATAATCAGTGTGAATCAGATCCACTGGCATGGCAAAGGGGCACAACTCTGCAAAGTGACTGGTCCACCTTTGCCCCTATGAGTGAGTGAGTGAGTTGGGTTTAACGCCGCTTTTAACAGTATTCCAGTCATATCACAGCGTGTCAGCTTAATGTGGGAGGAAAGACCAAAGTGATGCAGGTTTCAGACGTTTTCCACTTCGGTGAAACCCACGAGCACGGGTATGGTGCTGACAAACCTAGAAACATAATCGGGGCGAACCGGGATTCAAACCCACAATCATAGGTTTCTGGCGCACCCAAGGGACGCAACTCTGCACAGCGAATCGCGGCTCCTTAGACGACTGGGCCACCGGTGTCCCTTGCCCCTGTGACTATATGCAGCACCCACCTCCTGACTCTTGTAAGTGAGGATGATGTCTCCCGTCTCCACCTGAAACAGCCGCTGGACCAGCGTCTTGACCTTCTGTACTGCCATGGTCTCTGGACAAAACACAACATAAAAACTCAACACTCGGCATCATAAGGAGTGAGTGAGTGAGTGAGTGAGTAGAGTTTTACACCGCTTTTAGCAATATTCCAGCAATATCACGGTGGGGGACACCAGATATGGGCTTCACACATTGTGCCCATGTCGGGAATCGAACCTGGGTCTTCGGCATTACGATCGAACGCTTAACCACTAGGCTGGCCGACCGCCCCGCATCATAAGGAGGCATACTGCTTCATTAACAGAACAAATGAGTCAATACCCTAACACATATACATAAGCTTATAATGCCAATGGTGAGAGGGCACTTCTATGTACATTCAGAAAATATTTTGCAATTAGTTTTTGTCCAAATGTAAACATTTATCAATCTAACCTCACATAGTATAACTGATTATTACAACCTTAGTTTACAGTGACATCCATTTGACTGACTATTCAGTATTTGTCTGTAAACTGAAATAAAAGAGTGTTTTCAACTTTTGTTTCTTAGTTAGGATACTATGTCGAAATCATCACTCACTTGGTAGTCTCTTCTTAATCTGACCTTTCTCTGGCTTCTGGGGACATGCCAGTAGAACATCTAGTCGGGTTAAGGAACACATCACTGTCCTCGCTTTATAAGCAGTTTCCATAGAAACTGAAGCCTTGACAATTGAAACCACACCAAATTTGTATAAAATGAAAGGGATAGAAACCTTTGTGTGAAGAAAACATGGCCAACTGTGGCCTTATCAACAAATGACACAAAGTATGAACCCCGGCCAGTGTCTTCACCTCAGTCTGTCCTCACAGTCAGTCTCATGCATATCATTGAATTAGTCTGAGAATTTATTTAAGCTTTTCAATGGCATATCAAGCAGTGCATGAAACTCCCTCATATTTCAAAGACCTCACAAGGCAGAAAGTCCCAGCAAGAGTGCTATGGTCAAATCAACAATATCCTGCTGCAGGTTTCAAAATTAAATTACCTGTGCTCATGGGTTTCACCAAATTGGTAAACGTCCAAGACCCGCGGATGTTCCTCGCACAGAAAGCTGACATGCCGTGATATAAGTGGAATACTGTACAAAGCGACGTTAAAACCAACTCACTGACTCTGGGAGTTCCATGACAGAAATGGTTCTAGGTACCCCTGCTTGTCATAAGAGCTGACTGGACACACAATGTGTGACCTGGCTGATTGTGTTTTGTTGCACACTCTATAAACCACCGGTGTGCATGAGGCTTCAGCATTTACAGGCTAGAATAATGACAACTGTGACATAAAACAACATGCACTCATTTTGACTCAAGAACTAAGAGTATATGTTTCATGTATAATGTAATGCAATTCCATACAGCTCACTAAAACACTACCTCTCATTAAGAGTACACTTCTCACCATCCATACTATTTCTAAATACTGCAGGTTGGTCAATCAGTTCTTCACAATGTTTAGTCAATAACGTAAATGGCAAGTATGCTTGTTGTAAGAGGCAACTAGCGGGACTGGATGGTCTGGCTCACTGACTTGGATGATGATTGTCATCGTATCCCAATTGCTTGGATCGATGCTCATGATGTCAATCACCGGATTGTCTGGTCCAGACTCGATTACTTACAGGGCACCGTCATATAGCTGGAATATTGCTGAGTGCGGCCTTAAAGAACGGACAAACAAAACAATAATAACATGAAAAGTTGCCTAATAGAGTGCTTTGGTTTAACAAGTGAGTGAGTAAGTATGGTTTTACGCTGCTTTTAGCAATATCACGGCGGAGGGGACAACAGAAATGGGCTTCACACATTGCTCCCATGTCAGGAACTGAACCTGGGTCTTCGGTGTGACGAGCGAATGCATTAACCACTAGGCTACCCTACCGCCCTGGTTTAACAAGAGTTTCTCTTATCTGATGTATGATGGAGGAAGATTCTGACAAGATTTCACCAGCTACAAAGGATACTCAGCAGGTTGTCCTTCAGAGCATTAGACTTTACTTCTAATTCTGAATCCTCGGGAGCACCCCATTCTGAAACATCCACACATACACTGTGACAGGAAACAAATGGAACTGTGGGCCACAGTCTGAACAGTTGAAAATCATTGCTATATAAGATTTTAACCCTGAAATCTTTCAAACTTCTCACAGCAAATGAATACATTTTTTTCAACCAGGAATCTATTGTTTGATGACCTCATTGTGATGATGTGGCGGTCCAAGGGTTATGCCCCTTCTGTCTACCAGCTGGAAAGAGAGCGTTATGGAAAAATCACTGTTCATGATGTAAGGATTTGTATTCACAAATGTTGATAAATGCTATTGAGAGATGTGTGGGTGTTAATGAAAGTATAATGACTGGGAATCTTAAGCTCAGTTTCAAGTATTTAATACTTAGAAACACCTCAGAGGTTTGTATAGTACACCACTTTTAGCGATATTCCAGCATTATCACAGAGGGTGACACAAAAATCCGTTCGCACATTGTACCCATTGGGGAATCTGAGTGACTAGCGAACACTTTAACCACTAGGCTACTTCACTGCTTCCAGAAACACGTGAAAATCTGATTTTTTTTTATCAGAATTATGTCCACAAAAGGCAATCCACCTCTTTTTATACACTAACAAATACCAAAGGTTAGATGTTTCAAGTTTTTCAAACACTTAATTTCAGTAAGGTAAAAGTCTGATTACTGTCTATGAAGTCCTGGTATCGAGGGTGTTGTGTGACAAACTCCTGGCTCGGCTTGTTCTTCCCTGGATCCTGGTTACCCCCAGACTTCTTCCAGTCCAGGCCAAACTTCTTCAGATAGTCAATCTCTGCCCCCTTCCTCTCTTCTGCAGCCAACTGTCAGACATTTTCAAATGAACATTACTCTTGCAAATATTAGCTTTCTCATTTCAACAATTTTGGTTGAATTTCATATGACCTTTGGACTTAAAAAATTGGATTTCTTTTGATTAGGCAAAAAGAATGTTATTAAGTGAAACACATTTAAAAAGTGAGGGCAGGTTGCTGGAGCAGACCTCATTTCAAAGGGACATAACTCTTAATCAATATTTTCATTTGAGTCAGTACGAATTGCAGTTTCTTTTTTCATTTTTCATTCTTTTGTCCTGGGTGTACACTCCTAATATTGATGTACAAGAAGACAAAGCATGTACACTGGTTATAAAATATTCTCAAACAATGCTATCAAGATGCAGTAAAGACATACAATGACTGCAGTACAGTGAATTATGTAGCTTGACTATTATGTAGCTTGACAAGCTGAGTGCATACATTAGATTATAGTTGTAGAAAATATTTAGCATGAAAAGTAAAGTCATATTCCCAAATGATACAAAAAGAGTATGTGGCATGTGTGTTTCTGTATAGTAATTATCACAAATTACACATAATAATTATGCATGCCTTTGGAGAGCATAGTACCTATTTGTTTTCCTAATGTATGATATTTTGGATATGGGAACACATGAGGGTATTAACCTCTTCAACATGTCAACATTGGTTACTGTCATTCCTAAAATAATCAAGGACAAAAGTAACTTTAGAAACCTCATTTATGATATAGTGCAAAGTGAGTTCCAGACACATTTGTCGACAGAATCACACATACTCTGGCACATCAGGCAGACTCTATCGTACCTTTCAACTTTAGGCTATACAATGTACTTTATTGAGTGCATGGAGCTTATTAAAAGTACTTCCAGCTTGGTGATCTCATTTGCATATTTATTGGATATTGATACCAAGTTAAACAGATTGATATGTCATGATCTATCTCTGAGCAAAAAACTATCCATTATATGACGAATCAAGTTATAGTGGTTTGTGTTAACAAGGCTTCACTCGATGAAGTTTATTAAAGATAGTAGAACCTTACCTTGGAATTATTACATGACAGCAATGTTTTTATCTTGGCAATGATGAGCTGTCTGACAGAATTATCATCCATCACTTGCCAGATCGGGTTGCTCTGTAGTTTCAGATCCAACAGAGTGGATAGCTTACCTAGCTCGTTTATAGATGACCACTGCAAATATGAACAAGACACACAACTGAGGTGATGATGGTTCCAGAATAGTCATTGCATGATCATATATTCCGATTTTTCAGAGAAATAAAACTGTATTTTGCTGATGACAGCTTGGCCCAAAAAATCTAACTATCTGGTCACACTGGAAATGAAATTGTTCCCAAATAGGGAACAATTTCATTTCCAGTGTGACCAGATTGCACTGTTGACACCAACAGGTCACCATGTATGTCATGCAATTGCCTTTTGGCCAAGTCATGTCAAAACCTATTGATGACGAAAATTAATTTAAGTACATGCCCTAATTTCTACAGTTTTGGATTTTGGTCTTTGGACTTGGCTTATGCCCCCATTAAACCCCTTGCTTTGAAGTTTTCATAATAATGCTGCCGAATCACTGAAACATGTTATAACTAACATTGTTATAGTTTGAACTCATTTACTTCTATAATTGTTTTGGCTATCAGAAAAAGGACCTGTCTATTATTGTTCCCTTAAATGAAGCACTGGGGGACCCATTCTGCCCCAGAATCCACACACTGTAGGTATTACTGTCTTGACATGGGAATTTTCTGGGTATGGTCACATATTCACGTACATCACCAATCTTGTTCCTCATGATTGACAAGACACAAACTTTTGTAAAATATTTTGTCTTTTCTGATAATTGATCATCGGGAAAATGGATGCTGCCAATGTTGTTCTCACTGGCCATCAAAGTCTTCAGGCTGAAAAACACATGAATAATACCATGAAAATCAAACAACAACATGACATAATCCTGAAACAATCAGCTGTAATGTGAAAATATGACATGTGTATCTCGATTTAACAGCAAGAAGCAGCGATCTGATGATATGAAGTATTCAATCATCACGAACCCTCTGTTCATCTAAATAAGATGTGAGGTGAGGTGAGGTGAAATTGGGTTTAACGTCGCGTCCAAGGTTATTGCACTTATATAGCGACGTGTATGCACGTGTGTGTGTGTGTGTGTGTGGCTGCTTGTACTAGTCCGGACTGATGCCGATTTATAGTGCTAGCACACTGAGATACCATGCCGCAGTTTAACATGAATACCCCACTCAGACACAGTATACTGACTCCGAGCCGACCAGTCCTTGTTACAGGGTAACAACAAGTACCATCTTTTAACGTCTTTTGGTATGACGCGGCGGGGATTGAAACCCGGACCTTCCGCTCTCTGAGCGGACGCTCTACCACTAGACCACGGAGGCGGTCACATCTAAATAACAACAACTGAAAGTCATCTGAATAAAGTTAACCTATAACTTGGAAAATATACATTGCGTTCATTTTCTTACAAAATAGGAAAATTGACTTTTTCTCAGAGCTGCCATTGTACAAAACAACTTAAGCACTACAACTGTTGTAAGTCTATGTTAAGGTATGGCACTTATGATCAACTTAGCGCTAAGATCGCTTTGTACAACAGCACTCTGGCAAGTTTGGTCTCAAATGGCCCTGTAACTTTCATTTGTGTTTGCAAAGAAAGAAGAAATACTGTTTGTGTAAGTCAGAAGTGTTTGTTTTTTCAGTAGAAAAAACAAAACAATTCAAGCGTTTATTTGTGTTCAGGTGCTTGTGTGTCATTGTACACTACAGTGTGGGTTGTTGCTCATGGTATCAACCACTGGTTTGTCTCGCCCGTACTTAATTCAATACATGCAGCAGTGATGTAGCTGGAATACTGTTGATTGAGGCATAAAACAACAATAAAAATGTGGGTTCTTAGATCTTTACTGACATCACATTTCTGAAAGGTAGAGGTTCACTGACTTAGGAAGTGTCCCGACTTTGAGGATTTCCTCCCAGCTTTGCAGGTCGTTACAGTCTAGGTTGAGCAGAGTGAGATGAGGAAGCTCAGACTGTGAGGGGATGGAGAGAGACGTGAGCTTGTTGAAACAGACATGCAGCTGCTCCAGACACGGGAACATAGTGCTGCACCTCAAGATCTGGAAACAAACAGTGAGTGAGTGAGAGAGAGTGTGAGTGAGTGAGTGAGTGAGTGAGTGAGTGAGTGAGTGAGTGAGTGAGTGAGTGAGTGAGTGAGTGAGTTGGGTTTAGCGCTGCTTTTAACAGTATTCCAGTTATATCGCGGCGTGTCAGCTTAAGCCCGAAGTGATGCAGGTCTCAGACGTTTACCACTTCGGTGAAACCCACGTGCACGGGTATGGTGCTGACAAACCTAGAAACATAATTGGGGCAAACCGGGATTCGAACCCACAATCATAGGTTTCTGGCGTGCCCAAGGGACGCAACTCTGCACAGCGAATCGCGGCGCCTTAGACGACTGGGCCACCCTTGGAAACAAACAACACGTCATCAACTAGGTGTCATATGTACAACAGTTCAAATTTATTGTCTTGTTAAGCAAGGTATTGTGGGGCTTGTATAATGTGGCTCTTGTATATGGTCATATGGTGTTGTGTCATACAAATTCAAACTCTTGTTTGGCAAAGCCCATAGTAGGTGCCTAGGAGCCCATGTCTTTCATACATGACTAATGTGGCCTCAATGTGCTGAAATAAAAGCAATTGACTAAAAAGGGGTGGTCATAATGTGTGATAGAACTGGTATGTCATTGTGCCCAAACGGTGTGGACTGTTGCTCATACTATTGACCACTGGCTTACATGGCCTAGACCTAGGTGTTCTCCGGTTGCTGTTGCTGGTTTTAGACAACATTCATACACTATGCTGACTCATTAATTTCGTAATTTGTCACTACACGTGTTTGTAGCAACTTGAAGAGTGAGTGAGTGAGTGAGTGAGTGAGTTGGTGGGTGGGACGGTGAGTGAGTGAGTGAGTGAGTCGCTTTGGACAGTATACCAGTTATATCTCGATGAGTAAGCTTAATGTTGGAGGAAAACCCAAAGTGATGCAGGATGTTTAAGTTTTCTTTGGTGAAATTGGTGAGCTGCATGGATATGGTGCTGACAAACCTAGAAACATAATCGGGGCGAACATGAATTTGAACCCTTGATCCAAGGTTTCTGGGTTGGCCAAGGGACGTAACTCTGCACAGCGAATTAGATGACTGGGCCACCCATGCCCCCTTGAACATTGTAAAACTATATAACGAAAATGATAAGACCCATTAATGACTCCCTGCTTGTCATACTGGTGCATGTTAAATCAAGCCGCTATGTTGGAAGTCAAGGAGAGTCCTACCTGTCCCCAGCTGTACTGCATCCGGTTGAGGAAAAGGAACTGAACTTTGGCAAAACTTGGTCGCAAGGCATCGAGGTTGTCTGGTATGGCTAAACAGTTATCACTATATAGGAATAGAAAGGAAATTGAATTATTAAAAAACAATTCTCAGCTCTAACAAGCATTGAAACAAAAGATGACACATTTGATTTATTATCAGTTCTCATTTATTTACACATTGAATACCAACATATAACTTGTCAGTATAAAGCCACGGACAAGAAATATTCACAATACATTCCTAGTTCAGTTATATATATACTGGATTTAGATACAGACATGACAGATAAACTATAGTAATATGAATGAATCAGATGTTCTTTTACTTCTTTTGAGTAGTATATAATGACATAGACAGACATGATTTGCATGTATACTATGAGAATGCAACTTCCATGTTTGTTGACATGTTATGCAAATGTTATAATGACAGGTGTGTAAACATTTGTCAAGGCTCATGCAACCAGTACTAACCATACTTAAACAAAGTGCGTGAATAATGAACATGAGCATGAGCTCTTTTATACATTTCATTGTACCCAGTACAGATAGTTTGAAAGGTGAGGTTTCCATATAAATCGGGTACGGTGAGGAGGCGAGGTGTAATGGGGTTCAAGATAATTGCACTTAAATACTGATGTCCATGCACATGTTTGTGTGTCGCTGCTTGTACTAGTCCAGACTGATGACGACTGATCCCACTGAGATACCATGCCACAGTTAAACTTGAATACCCCACTCAGACACAGGGTACCGACTCCGAGCCTACCAGTCCTTGTTTTAGCCCCGAAATGCCAGACAAGGTAACAACGAGTACCATCTCTTAATGTATTTTGGTACAACGCATCCTGGTATTGAACCCGGACCTTCCACTCTCTGGGTGGACTCTCTACCACTAGACCACAGAGTCTTAAACGGGGTATGGACTAACAAAATGTTACTGTGCAGCTTTCATTTTTAATTCACACTGTTTTTCATAGTATTTCACTATGTAACATCTTGGCAATGAAATAATGATCATGACAACTTATACAGACCTAGTTAGCAGAATTCTCTTATGAAAATATGTATATAAAAGTAAGCAAGGTTGTCTTCAGTAAACAACTATCGCAGGAGTAATGCCACTTGCCAGGCAATCTACCATAAACAAAGATCTACATTTGTGACAACATACAAATTTTGCGAGGCAACCGATGTACACAACCTGACATTCAGGCTATGGAGCAGAGGCAGCTGTTCTACTACCCGGGCCACATCCTCCCATGAAGAGATGAGGTTCTTTGACAGATTCAGTTCTGTGATGTTGGGAGTGTACTCCTTCAGCTGACAGCCAGGGCCATTTCCATACACAAGGCACTCTCTCAGGCCTATGTCTTTCAGCGTCTCCAGCTTGCTGCAACACAAGCACTGTGTGTTAAACAGGTGGTAGGTATAATTCTACCATGAATTTGGGAAATACCCGATTCTGATTGGTCAATCTGAGGTTATCAAATCACAATAAACTCCCTTTGATTGAAACAGCTGGCTTGATGCCCATTTTACCACATAAGGATATGCATCTGCACTTTTTGCATGACTACCATGATGACGGATTTCACAAATTTGTGTTCTGTTTCAAATTCAGTTTAACAAGGTTAAATCTACAGTAGCATAGCTCTACACTGAACATAAAGTAGGTTCATCTCCTAATTAACAAGTCACTGATAGAAACGTATTTTCTGCCACAGGGCACTCTGACATGAAGATGTTTATATATATTGTAATCTAGACTTTGATAAACACTGCCTTTTAATCAAATCAAGCTGGCAATTATTTTTTTGTGATAAATGCTGGCTTCTAATCAAATCAAGCTGGCAATTAGTATTTTGTGACCCATTCGTATAAAGAAAAACACACAACATTTCTCTTCAATCTGACTAATAAAAACATGCCCGAAGCCAGTTGAATTTGCGCAGCAGTTTGGTTGTCAGCTTTGCTATGCGGAGCTCTATTGTTTGGGTTTGAGAACTGAATCATACATCACGCTCGGAAATTATTTAACACATGATTAAAAACACCCACAGCCGTTAACGTCCTGGCCCTTTAAAGACACTTTGGTATTAAGCATGATCAGTACTAACAAACAGCTATGTGAAAATGCTTACTTGAACTCAAATTCATTACATGTCATTCATTCAACCACTACGTCTAAAGGAATGTTATTCAATAATACTGATAAAAAATTCACAGATATTTTCGATGAACATGACGATAAAGCAACATCTGATGATACAAAGAATAAATTTCTATGAAACTGATAATTGTTACCTGGTTACATGTGACAATAAAGTTATTATTTAATATTTCTGAAATAATACACAAACAGACACAAACACCCAACCTTTGCCTCTGGTTCACTTGCTTCGCACCGACCATCTCCACAACTGTAGCCTTCTTGTTGGTTCCGAGGATAAACAACTCATCTGTGACAACACCAGCATCTTCTCCCTCGATCAAGCCATAGCGATCTCTCAGGGCTTCAAAACACGACACACCAAATTCGGCTTTCTTCGGTCTCAGAAAAGATCCTGATTTTGGATTTCTATTACAAAAGGGTTGAATATTATTCCTCCATACTTACAAACATATATCAGAAATACAGCATAGGTTAAAAAAATTCGTCGAAGCTTAGAGTCATCCCTTATTTTGAACCCGCCCGCTTAACCTCTTTGGTCACGTTGACAAGATATCACTACTTTGGATCAGTAAGTCCATGGTTTTGAATCCAACTATATGACTTAGAGACTTTGTAGTCATTGCATAAAAATATGTTTAGTAAGAGTAGAGTTCAGCGAATTAGACAACATTGTATTTGAAATGCTTTGTATCACCTTGTTTCAAAATATCTTTTCCCTTCATGTGTTCCATTGTGTTTCCCTCTGTCTGGCTCGTCCCAGTCCACACCCAACCAGATACCTGCAAACAGCCACACAGTCTTCACTTTAACTCATTGTTCAACATGTTCAATGCATTCAGTCATAGACAAATGTCCATGTCATTGGTGGGACATAATTGACACTAAGACATATCAAGCATTGTTGTTCTCATATCAAGGAAAGGTGAAATGAGGTTTAACGTTCAAGATTGTTTTACTTCTACAGGGACATACATGTGTGTGCATTCCCCACATGGGCACAATTTGTGAAACCTATTTCTGGTGTTCCCTTCAGTGATACTTGAATATTGCTAAAATGAAATAAAGGCATGGTTACCATGGTCTATTTTGTATAAACACTAATCATAGTCATGACAGTATAACCATGATAATATGCCATCAATGTCTTGATAGTTGAAAATTTCAATTATTCCAATAATCATGATAATTCTTATTATGCTTTAATAATTCAATCACACATACATTCACCAATCAATTGGAATAAAGAAAAAGTCATTTTGGAATGAGGAACATGATGAAGACACTCATTCTTATGCCGACATATCTTACCTTTGGTTGGTGGTACTTGGCCGATATATTTTACTGTACCAAAGCTGCCATCACCGAGAATGCGGTTTCCAACACAGATTCTTGTTCCATCACGTCTCAGTAAATCTGGTTAAAACACATTTACCATATCAAGTGTTCAAAATCAAGGAGGGTTCCTTCAGGTTTGGTCCTATTTCTATGCTGACACACTTTGAAACGCATATTCAAACTTTGTTAATATTTTGGCAAACTGGCCACTGAAATCAAATAAGATTGTTTTTGGTATAAGATAACAAAACACAGCAATGTTGTTTGCATTCAAATCTCAATCCATGTGACTGGAGATGGACATGAGCACATAAACACAATTTGTCTTATGCTTGAAAACATGATAACATTTTCTGCATGTTCACTGTTTGAATGTGGACACATATAAGGCAATGTTAGATCTGAGAAGATCACACCCCATAAACATGCCACTTGATGTTAGAAGAGAGGACCTGGCCTCATCAGGTTGAAAGCTTGTGACACCTTGAAACATACTTTAGTTGTCAGGAAATGTATACATCTATTCCCACATATGGCATACTTTGACCCGTGAACAGTCATATTTGTCTGTTTTTTTTACGATTGTATGCACATACTGGAATGCTGTTTTCAAGATTAAAATAGCAAGACCACAGGAAGCTTTCATCTTGCAGTTGCTGATTGGCAGATCTAAAACTGATCAAACTTGTCAAACTGTTCCTTCCTTCTATGTGCAAATTAATGACCAGTAGTATCGCAAAGTGCTACCCTTATGATTATTTTGATATTATATAAAGTGGGTTTGCAGTCAACTTAATCATCAATAGATCACAGTAGATGGTTGCAATATTTCCAGCTTATTTTACGAAACACTTACACACAATAATCTTAATTTCTGCATATGACAAAATGTCTAGCATAACGGAAAATACAACTGAAACTGAGTGTCATCATGTCTAGTAATATTTTATGAAATAAATCACATTTACATTGACCAGGATTGTTAATTTTATTCGGGAGTAGTGCACTTTACCGGGCGCACTTTTTCAGATCCAATTAGCGCTGTGGGGGCTCGAACGCGCTTCGCCGGCTCACCGGCTCTGCTAATTAATGTGTTAATTAGCCTACGCTCTACCACTGGACCACAGGCGCTATCACATGTAATCAGTGCTCGTTTAACAGGTCATTAGAATCCCCATTGACATGCATGCGTAATTCAGTAAACAATGAATTGCGCATGCGTGTGACGTCACTGCCCGCTCTCCCATTCATCTTTTCTTGAAACCACACCCGCAATTGTTTATGTCAACATGACCGACCAATGGGATTAACTGGATTAACGCTTGAAAAGGTAAGAATTTATGGCTAACCCTTGCCCAAACCCACTGACCCTAATGACCGAAAAGGGGTTTTGGATCGTAAAGACGTGTAAGTTTCCCTAAGACCGAAAACGGGTGTTGGATCGTAAAGACGTCTAAGTTTCCCTAAGACCGAAAAACGGGTGTAGGATCGTAAAGTTGTGTAAGTTTCCCTAAGACCTAGAACGGGTGTTTGATCGTAAAGATGTGTAAGTTTCCCTAAGACCGAGAACGGGTGTTTGATTGTAAAGATGTGTAAGTTTCCCTAAGACTGAAAACGGGTGTTGGATCATGAAGCGAGAGTCACCAGAGCGTGAGGCACGGTAACGGTATAACGAGACAGCGGTGGCACTATAGCGCGGTAACTGAGCGGATGGTAGAGCTCGGGCTGCGCCCGGTAAACTGCATTGTTGCCTTTTATTCATCTGAAGCAACTTTTTAATCATGTTTACTGCACTTTATATATACAAAAATAGCAAATACTATTTATCTTAAAAGTTCGGTCATGCTGATACATGTATGTAGTAATAAAATTAACGTATCTACACAAACGTGTTAGGTGAACAATGAAGCAGTTGGTATTTTTGCGACGCACTTACATGCTTACACTGCGTCAAATACGCAGAAATGGTGCGTCAATGGGAACCCTGAAATATGCTGGAACGTTGCTTCAGTGGGACCCTGGATGTAACGTGTGTTCAAGCTATCTTTATCAATGACGCATAGTGTCCTATCGTCTCAGTCAGGCGATCATATATATATGGATGAAAACAATTTGTCAGTTTGAAATATTGCATCATTACTTTCCAAAACGACGTACTGTTACTTTCCCATTGATATAGAAATACAAGTAGTTATTCATTACGAGGAAATGTCCATAGAATTAACTGTCATTCCACAAAACGCACCTGCATCCGCCATGTTTAATGTGACTTCTAAAAACTGAGGCATGAAATCTTATTCGAATTAATACATGTTTATATTAACTCTATATGAGCCTGGTATGACTAAAATTGTAAGCAAAATAACATGCTATATTTATCACGAGTGTTTCGAATGTTTATCTAATTATTGTAGTGGTAGTAGCTTGCGTGAGGTTATAAACCCGAAAAAATAAAGAGATGTTTTCCGTATCAGGTATTCCTTAATTTATACATGAGATCTAAACTTCCTGTTTGACGACAACAAAATAAATAGTTGACATGGTTCGATTGAAACCATCTGATCTGACTTCCTAAACAAACCTGTTTACGACATATACGTCGAAGCTGACACAACAGGAGCCCAATTACAGGCATGACAGGCATATTCTCATCAACATTGTTTCGATTTGCTGCTCTCACAGTGGCTGTCGGCTACGGTTTGAGTTCGTGTTGGAGGCGCACAGACGAGAAGAGAATGAAGGATGAACTGGATTTGTGGCTTAAAGAAAAACAGCTGGACACTTTCTCATCTGCTTTGGCATCGGCAGGTATAACTGACAAACACATGTAATAGTTGGTATGAAAAGGAAACACATGTCTTAGAAACAACTTATGTCAGACTTGATAAATTATGTAAACATCAGGCCCAGAACATGGACGTGTAAACGGGCTTAAGGTACCTGTCATACCTGTTAGGATTTTTATAGGAGACACGAAGGGATGGTGACAAGACTGTAGTTTTCTGTGCACTTCATATATCCCTAATTGGCTGCAGGCTGTTGTCACTTCCTCAATCTCGCGTTGCCACTTCAATCTTTTGGGTTAGTTGTGTTAGGTTTAGGGTAGGTTACCCCTAACTCAATCCTTAACACATCAATTCCCTTTACGATTGTTAGGATTAGGTACTCCTTTCTGATCAAACTCCCTGTTACGACCCTTAGGGTTGAACACCACTTGCCAATAAGATACCCATTTACGATCCTTTGGGTTAGCATGGTTGGTTGTGAGTCAGGGTATGGCCAAATTAGCTGTATCACCTCATTAAATAAATTAATATAATTTGAGGACTATAAGTACAATTTTTTTTAAAATGGCTACTGCACTAATGTACTATTTGTGATAGCTCCAGTGAGGCAGTGTTGGCTAATTAGCTCATTAGCCAAGCTGAGCTTTGCCGGCAATGCAAGTTAGTGCAGTGCTAATTGAAAGCTGAAAAAGAGCAGTACTCCTGGGATGTTAGTCATGCCCTGATCGGGGTTTAACGTAGCATTTCAAAACTCATTGTGGCCCCCAGGCTGTGTTACAGGTCAAAAGTGTTTTGGAGGGGTCATTTTTACAAAATCTTAATTGATGTCTGATTCGTAATAAATTACTGATTATTTTAGGTTCGGACTCCTGTTGGCCCCAAATATGTTTTTAGGTTTGTCAGCGCCAAACCTGTGCTCTTGGGTTTCACCAAGGTGGTAAATGTTTGAGACCTGCATCACTTTGGGCTTTCCTCGCACATTAAGCTGACACTTTGTGATGTAACTGGAATACTGTTATAAACGGTGTTAAACCCGACTCACTCACTCTCTAAATTGCAATACACAATAAATAATGTTGTTATTGTTCTAACCACAAAGCATTACCTGAAACAGTAACCAATTCAATTGACTTTCAAACGTAAACGCATTCAGGGCTCGAAAAATTTCTTGAACCTAACTTGTACTTTGGGGCAGGTAGATAATATTTTGTACTCATCCTGCAATATTTTCAGTTGTCCTGTTAAATTTCATAAAGTTTTATGTTCTCAGTTATTATTTATGGTAGACAGAACAAAATATTCCAGAGTCCCTGCCATCTATGTTCATCTCTGCCCATTCAAACTCACTCAACCATGCATATTGCACAGTTCATTTTCTCTCTTTACAGTCATACTGTATTTGATAAATTTTCCTTTTTTTGGCATGTTTGGTAATTAGAATGTTTTTGTCATTAACCCCACCATCCCCAATCAAAAGCTATGTCAGCCATATCCCACACAAAATCCATCAGCAGCAGTTCACTATCGCTTTTACATTTGAGCGTCAGTAATGAGTCGCTTACAACAAATATACATTTTTTAATTATCTCCCTTTAAAAACTAGTTTCAATACCTGCTGCTCAAACATACTTCCAACCCGTGAAGATTCCTGGGTAGAATAGGTCTTCAGCAACCCATGATTGTCGTAAAAGGCGATTAACGGGATCGGGTGGTCAGGTTTGCTGACTTGGTTGATGGATGTCATCGATCCCAATTGCGTGGATCGATGCTCATGATATCAATCACTGGATTGTCTGGTCCAGCCTCGATTATTTACAGGCCGCCGTCATATAGCTGGAATATTGCTGAGTGCGGTGTTAAACAACAAACCAAACCAAATGAAACATACTTCCTGTTTATTTCTGTATGCTGTAAAGGACATTTACCAAGTATGTCATCTATTTATGATATAAGCGACACGTAATTTGTTGTTATTAATTAGATCGTGTGGGAGATGAAAACATATTTTAGGTTCAAAATTATTTTGCATATTTATTTAAAATGATTAGAGATGAATTGACACGATTGATATGTATGTACTCGTTCGGTATGTCAAACGTTTCTTCAATTCTTTCTTGACCTGCACATGCTGCCGCTTGTCAATACGAGCGGAGGAGTGGATTTTTCAAGCCCCAACATTATTAGTGGTTTGTGGTCGAGGTACTATGATTTGTTGTTTATTGGAATTCATGACGTTTCGATTTAACATCAGAACCAGATTTTGTCAATGTAATGTATGATGGAAAACTTGTTCATAGACATTAGGTTTTCTATCTTTAAACAAAGCTGATATTGGTAATATTTTATTGTAAGGGATATGACCATTCAGATTTTAATATTATTAACAGTATAGTGCAATTTAATTATTGATCAGAGCTACAGATATGCAGCGTATTTGCGTAAAATACCCCCGAAGAATATTCAAAACCCAATTACTTTCAATTAACTTCGTACAGAAACGCATGCATTAAATGAAAAACTCAAATGTATAAAAACAGCATGCATAAATACCCAACAAATTTTTTTCAGCATGCGTACAAAGGAGCTAATTTCCGAAACACAATTACGAGCTGTTTTACTTTCTGAGTCAAGCCTTATTTAGAACAGTTATCATGGTTATGTATATCAAAAACATTATTTCGTTGTTTTTTCTAATCTTAAAATGTTCACTCTTTGGGGGAAATACCTGATAGAGTGCTGAATAGATGAGTGAAAATATATTGGTTACCCAATGAAAAATGTAATAACCCAATTAAAATAGAAACCCTAGAGTAAAAACTCAATTGCTCAAAAAGTTTTCTGGGGCTCTGATTGATTTTGACAGATTGACAACCTGCGTCATAACTGAAGCAATGGGAGTTTTTTTGTTTCAGGGCAAACCCTGCCAGGTAACCATGGTAACATGCCATGTCGCACGGTAGGGGGTGCCTATACAGATCTTACCCATACCTGTGTATATGATAATGGTTTTCGCTTTATCCCCAGGTGTGATGATAGTGATAATCATGATAATGGTTTCTACTTTATCCTCAGGTGTAGAGAGTATCTACGAGGCCGCATCGTTTACACCCGACCAACCCAAGTGGAAACATCAATTCTCTGATGACCGACACCGTAGCCTGAAAGAGGCCCTCATTGAGTTGAGAGAAGAAATGAGATTGGAACATTGGTTGTCTAGGCATGGCATGGCTTCTTACTTTGATAGGTAATAAACATGTTTACATATTCCAACGTTAGAAACTGTCCTGTAGTCCTTACCAAACTGCCCAATAGTAAAGGTATCCTAAGGACTAGTAGAAATGGGCCCATTTTAAGGGTTTTGCTATATGTTATCATTATAAGGACTAGTGGACAAAAACTGTTAGTTTCTAACCCTATATTCACCTATAATAACTGATATAACTCTGCACCTATAACCTCTAGTCACAAGCTCAAGTCAAGTCAGCTCAATGTCTAGTAAGTTCATCTTAGCAAATTACGAATCTCTTAAATAAACTGGGCGGCAAAAAGTATAGGTCGAGTTCCATGATCCATAAAAAAATAACGAGAAGAGGTTTTGTTGTGAATTATAATATAATGTAGGGAGGGGTAACAAATGATTGATCAACCACAGTTTGAATGAAATTGTGCAGTCACAGGTAATGTAAGCTCAAGATAAACAATGGTGGGGTAAGAAGTTTCATTTTCAATCTGATATGTCTGAAATGTCACCAAAAAATTGTCAGACACACTACAAGTTCATTGTCGACACAGTTGCCTTCAATAGAGTGTATGACCTCCAGCTGCCTCAATGCATGCTGTGATACTTCACCTCATCAATGACGTCAGTCTTCTGATGACGTGGACTGAAATCCGTTGCCACTCGTCTCTCAGGGCCTGCTGCAATTCTTGTCTGTTGACGGGAGGCTGATGGCTTGCTCTAATCTGTCTGTCAAGATGGTCCCACAGATGTTCAATAGGATTCATATCGGGTGAGTGGGCAGGCCAGGGCAAAACGTCAACGTTCTGCTGGTTTAGAAAGTTCCGAGTCAGTCTTGCAGTATTTTGGCCTGGCATTGTCGTGTTGAAACAATGTCCTCTGCTGTTGGTTTTGTAAGAACGGAAGCACCACTGACTGCAACACTTGGTCTCTGTACTGCACAGCGTTCAGGTTTCCCTGTATAATCACCAAATCAGTCTTCTGATCTCCACAAATACCGCCCCACACCATGACACCTCCCCCGCCTAATGGATGGACCTCTCGAATACACGCCAGAGCCAAACGTTCCCCTCTGTGTCAATAAACTTGTTCTCTGCCATCATTTCAAAACAAGTTAAACCGACTTTCATCAGTAAACAGCACTCGACGCCAATTTCTCACTTGCCATCGTCGAAACTGCCTCGCCCATCACAGTCTCAGGCGTCGATGTTGAGCAGTCAGTACCATTCCTCGGAAAGGACGAAAAGCTCGGATTCCAGCAGCACGAAGTCGTCGTAGTACTGTACATTGGCTAATGGGATGTCCCAACGCTGTTGCTGCCGTCGCCGTTATGAATCCTATTCGCAGGTGAATGAGCCGTATCTGACTGTCTTCCAGTGGTGTTGTCACTCGGGGTTGTCCAGTTCTAGGCCTGTCCTCTGTCCTCCCTGTCTGCCTGTACCGTTGAATCAGCCTGGCTACTGTCAATAGTGTACAACCAAAACTTCTGGCAATTTGGACCTGTGTTGCCCCCATTGCGGCCATACCGATGGCTCTCTCTCTTTGCTCCTGTGACAGTCGTGGCATTTCTTTTGTGTGCTTTCATCACATGTGGTTATACCCTGCAGACGAACGCATTTATACAGCTAACATGCACGTGCAGTTTATGCCATAGGCGGGAAACTGTTTCACCATTTTTTTGTCACCGCACGAGGGCCGTCAAAGGTGGCACGTTCGGGTGAGGTGTTTTTTGGTACATGTTCCTGGGCAGTCATATTCCCAATACCCACTTTGCACTAGTTATCGCTGTTTTTAAGAAAATTACAAATTGCCAACCTATACTTTCTTTTGCTGCTTAGTTTATAAAGTTCGGACAAAAGTATTTGATGCAGACTGGATAGATCAATTTGACAAAAACACTCATTTTTAAACTTATCATATCTCACACTATGCATTTCTTCTTATTCTTCCTTCCTGGTGTGGAATAAAGTTTCCAGTTTCAAAAACACCACTCACCCCAACACATCCCATACATCACCAAGTCACCACTGTGATCATTGGTCACGCACCACTGCAATCCTGTGCGGCACGACCCCTGTGATCTGGTCACCTGACATATCCAGCACCCTCATTCTCAATTTTATCGCTGGATGTATACATGAACAGAGAATATTTTTTGGTTGTTTTTTTTGTATTTTTTTTTTTACATGGACTTCTGTTTACCGTTACCGTTATGAGATACGATATGTTATGGAGTCGTCACGTCCCTTTTCACAGACTGGTATCGCCTGTTTTCTCCACTTGATCCCCATCCTATTCGTTGTGATTGTCATGGAATGTGTGGTATTGATACACAATGTCAGGAGTATGTTACCCTGTCAGAATCTGATTTCAAACTTACTTTCGCAAGTGTTCGATAAGGGTGGCTGATTGTCGGTTCAAGGCGTCATGTAAGGATTCCGAGCATGGTTATTCCTCTGGGAGCTAACCCAAGTGATATTGTAATATCCCATGTGACTGTGCTTTCATCTTTTTGCTAAAGAAGAATTTAAGCCCATTTGGCAACAGTTACATCACTTTCCATTGAGGAGGATTGCTCTCCGACTCGTTTTGACTGCCGCCCTTCCCGCCTCTGTGTGGACCACGCCCCTTGCCCGTGACTACTCCCTGTGTTCTACAGTCGTCAAGTTTTCAACTCACCACTGTCCTGTTATAGTCTGCCGCTTTCCCCCTTATTACGGCAACCCAGTGCTCCTTGCAGGGCTCTGAGGATACAGATACACCTGTCCAGCTAATGGCGACAGCCCTACTGACCTAGAGCAGGACGATAGTCATCGAGCAAGTGATCACTGACGGATGAAGGATCTTCACTCACAGGATCATCATCCATCGTTGGATCATAAACGACCGAGGGATCGCCAGATTGCCATACTTCACCATTATCGACAAGTCACCGTTCTTCAATGGACTATCATGTCGACAGTTCGCCAGATTGTACGTCTCTTCTACAGATAGATACCATTTGGATCCCACTCAACGGTTCATCAACATATAGATACCTTGACAGATAGACACATCGGTACATCGAGTGCTCGTGCAACTTCGCCTGCTTGACACATGGATCGTTCCTCAGTCACAAGATTGTCATTCTTCCACGGATCATCATTTTTCTCAGGATCAACAGACTTTCATCGTGCATCACACTTCTATCCGAGAACTTGGACCAGGCCTTAGCTGCATTCTGTTGTCAAATTATTTCTACCTTCATTCAGACCAAGCCATCTACCAGCATGTTCTTATTATGGTGATCGATATCGTCTCTGATACTCAGCAATATTCCTACTATGTGATGGCGATCTGTACTAAAGTCCACTTAGGCTGGACAATCCAGTGATTGACATCATGAATATCAATCTATGTCTTGGGATATGATGACCTGCACCAACCATGTAAGCGAGCTTGACCGCCCATTCCCATTGGTCACCTCTTATGGCAAGCTTGTGATACTGAAGACCTATTCTCTACAGGGATTTTTATGGATCTGGTTTGTTGCTCGTGCCCTCACGTTTGAAGAGGCCCATATTCGTGGGGCCATGGCTTTGGCAAGCATCAGACCGTTATGGCCCTCTTGTCACAGCGTATGAGTGCCCTCACTACTTTGTGTTTGGCGCATCTCAGGAGATCTCTCATAGCCAAGGTTTTTTCTCAAAGGTGGCGAGAACTATTACACATTGCCACATTGCACCCCTACATAAACTTTGTCCAACCATGAATGGAAGGCGTTTGAATGTTGTTGCTCAGCTAGGGATATTTCATCTTTCACTACTGCGTCTCCTCAAAAATAGCTGACTTCTTCCTCCAACGTCTCTGCACTAATCATGCTAATAGGCAGTTGAAGGGATCAACTATATCTACCTATTTCGCTGCTATTAATTATTATTATTAAACGCCCACGCAACCATACCCACAACTATTACACGAGCCTGTACGCTCTAGATTGAGAATGAGGGTGCTGGATATGTCAGGTGATCAGATCGCAGGGGTCGTGTCGCACGGGATTGCAGTGGTGCGTGACTCATGATCACAGTGATGACTTGGTGATGTATGGGATGTGTTGGGGTGAGTGGTGTTTTTGAAGCTGGAAACTTTGTTCTAGGACGTTTCCACATCAGGATCGAAGAATAAGAAGAAATGCATAGTGTGAGATAAATATACAATTTATTAGAAAATTTACAATTAATTTATCATCAGATGATATTTAAGTTTACGTGATTGGCAATAAAACCCATCATAAATGTGTTAAGAAAACACATGTCAGTTTGATGATATTCACTCATAAGGGTGGTGAAATTAAACTGCCTTCTTTCGATATGGCATGTTTACACCAAATATTATAAGTTTCATGAGTTTTTTCCGTCCCGCATTTGGTATTATACCTCTGGTTCTCTGAGTGATCCTGCTTCAACAAATGTTTCCTTCCGACATGTTTTAATGTGACATTGTTAAAGAATTAAAACAAATTCAAAATCGATAGAAAACAGCTGTACGATTGAGCTTAGGTTAACCAGTGCTATGTCACATGACTTTTATTGACTCGGGGAAAAACGTGTAGCTTTTTGTTTTGGAGCAGGGAATGAGGGATTTATTCTCCCGCTGAGAAATTTATTTCCCTCCAAGGCTAGATGCATGGTATTTTACAGAGCTCCAGATAAGCTTTTGGTGTTGTGGGTATTTTACCCATGCATTTTAAAATCATTGGGTATCGGTAATTCTATCTGGGTATTCAAATTTCTGTTACCCACTAGTTTTTACACATGTGGGTATTTAAGTTAAATATTTAAAAACACTATTCATTTAGTCCCTGCAAACTGGTGTCGTGTGGGTTCGAGAGCTTTATAGGACTAAAAAATACCACGATACTTCCACAAGAAAGTGTGATGGCAAATGACCATGATGTAAGTGTAACTGTGGAGTTGGCAAGGTTGACGGAATGCCCGTTTATAATTTCAAAATAAGTTGCTGATTTGCTAATCGAATACGCAGGGTTACTTCACAATATTTTGATGATACGCACAAGTTTTATTTTTGTAGCGTATCTGTAATGTTTGTTGCGTATTTGGATTTTATTTTACTGCGTATTTCTGCATTTCTGATGCGTATTTCACGCAGATACGCAGCTTAACTGGAGCTCTGATTTTACCAAGATCACATTGACCAAATAGATCTCATCATTCAGACATGGAGGAAGGATGATACATGTACTTTATCAAATCTGAATGCAGCAGGATTTCCCTGTATTTCTCTGAGATTTGATATTTATTTAAAAGTATTGGTCCAGTTCTACATTCCCTTGAGAATAAGATCATTTACTCCAATACGATACTTCTCCGAGTCTTTGCATGAAGACTTCCATAGAAGGTGAACCTTGAGCATGTTGAGAGACTTTAAATGCCCAATTTAAATGAAGGCTGTGCAGGTTTTTCAGCCAAAAGATGTGATAAAAACAGTTGCCTCTTCAAATTTATAAATCCGAACAATCTCACTTTGTAGCTATGTCAACATGGTTTCATGTAGCTTATCTGTTATTTAAAAATTTGGACACTTTCACAATTTTTTCTTCCCTGCTGGAATCAGAACATGTCTCAGAGCTCCAGATAAGTTGTGTATTTGTGTAATAGTTGAAGAACACTGTGTGTAATTACTAAACTTTGCCCTTTCATCTTGCCTACCTGAGTTTCTCTACAAATCTGTATTTACTGATTGAATGTAGTAGGCATTAGGTTTGCATCATACTCTACTGCAGTGACTATCACACAACGGAGGTGTGTGGACATGTATAGTGCTGTTATGAGGCTGTGCAGCATGTTACACACATCGATGGCAAACAGATAAAGTCACCATAAACCATGTCTTTGACAGAATGAGTATTAACAAAGTGTCGGCTATTTGATTTAGAAATACCTAGACTGAACCCAAGGGAGTACAAATATGTGGATTAAGTAAAGGAAACTATAAAATGCCCACTGTGAAAGATAACATGTTAGTGATGGCTCAAACCCTTATCTGGAGTTCTGATGTCTAAAGTGTATGCGGGCGGTCGGGTTGCCTAGTGGTTAAAGCGTTCGCTTGTCACGCCGAAGACACGGGTTCAGTTCCCGACATGGGTACAATGTGTGAAGCCCATTTCTGGTGTCCCCTGCTGTGATATTGCTGGAATATTGCTAAAAGCGGTGTAAAACCATACTCACTCACTCACTAAAGTGTATGCAATCTTACTGATGCTTCAACCATGCGTCTGCTTGTCCGAGACTAGTAAAATTCAAGAAGTAGTGACATTTTCCTTGTGGTTTACCACTTTTATCATCAGGTAGATGGTAACTACTTTAATACCAAATAATTTCTAACTCTGATGACGGATTTGATTGGGCCTATAACCATGATAACACCAGAGCCAGTGTCTCAGGTTCTCAGGTATGTATTGTTTCCTTCCCCAGAATGAGAAAGGAAGACATCAGAAGCCTTGTTGGTCTGAGTAGGATTTCAGAAGAAACCCTTCAGAAGATCACACGCACTGACTCGACGTTACATGATTACATTGGACTCAAGTCCCATATTGCAAGCCTTGTGAAAGAGCTGTCTGAGGGGCGTGGCGTTGGGGCTTCTGATGACGAGCTGTTATCCTACTTACAGAAAAAGATGACATACAGTCTGCGAGATTATGGTAGGATGATTTGTATTTGTTGTGTTTGGGTTCAGGATAAACAACTTGCCTGTGAAGCTTCTGAAGTATTAGAAGTGCTGTCATTATTTGACGGTCAAGCTCACAGTGTCTGTTGTTATCATGCGCTTAAGAATCTTGTCACAGTGATAATCAGTTGTTCTGTTTATTTTCAGGTTATAGAAGTAGGTTAGTTCAGATGTTGTGATGTTGATGAGGTTTTAGAAGCACTGGAAAGGTGCTGATACTTCAGTGGTTGATAAGGTTATATATATGTTTACCTACTTTGATGTTTTTGTATAAGTAGGTGTATAACTGATGTTGCTATGGTTACTGTCATCCTTGGTTAGACACCCCACATGGTTACAATGATTATGTATCACAAATTAGGAATTTTTTCCCCTTTTACATTAAGGTATATTAACTGGATCATTGCAAAGTGGAATCATTGTGCCTGAAGCAGCAGTAAAATACTTTCATGTTTCTTACTCCTGGGTCAAGTTGCTTTGTCCTGGTGCTATCCAGCGCGGTCCATCGCTGCACTATACAACACCTTGCTGTGGCACAGCGCTGAAGAGCAAAAATCAGCAACTCTGTAAAGTGCTTAGCAGTGCTGAGAGACAAAATAAAAACGGAAGCCAAAAACCAGAGGGCTTGACAACAAAACACACTGGACTGTGTGTCTCTCTCAAGTTGAAGTTGCCAGTGTTTTAGCCGACGAGGCTTACTCATTTATCACGATGCATCAGTTTCTAGTTATTGTTGCAACTAAAATGTTTGCATAAGAAGTTTATGAAAGCTAATCATCCATCACTGATCAGCACAGGAGATGCATATTGCTTAGCCTACTTGTTTCAATTCATCAGTATGGTAAAATTATTTATATTACACACTATGTTCCTTATGGCATTCTGAAGAGTAACATACACTTAGTCCAGGCTTTTTTTATTTTTAGGATTACGGATTTTTCAGCCCAAAGTCTATGGTTATAGGAGGGGGAAAAAACAGAAGCCAGATGCATTTTTTTTTAATGCAGAATGCCTCTGGCATACTTTATGAACATATTCTGTGCTCAAAAGACCGCCATTTGTGACGATAAAGCCCCTTGTAACAATAAAAATTCTACCACTTACAACACGGACATGTCCCCCGCCGTGATATTGCTGGAATATAGCTAAAAGCGGCGTAAAACCTCACTCACTCACTACAACACAGACAATTGTCAAGGGAGGCTATTCATGTTCGAGATCAACAAAGATCGATTATGTATCTCTTTACTAGTATACAACGGTAAATTCGTATGTTTTTTATTAAAAGGTGATGATAACAAATAAAATAACTGACTGAGTGGCTACCGGCGGGGAAAAAAATTACATTTTCTAAAAAATTAGAGATGGCAGGTCCGTAATCCGAAAAATATAAAACGCCTGGCCTTACATCACTTATATCTATGTGTGCAGATACAGCGGAAGGTAGCACACTATTGCATTGACTGCTTCCCTGTGCTTCCATCGCTGCCGAGCGCTTATCCAAGTTGTTGGCTTAAACAATGCAATTCTGTTGTGTTGATCACATATTTATTTCTCCAATCTTCAACATGCTGTGAGGCATGCACATGTTTGATTCATTTTCAAATGTATCGTCTCATTGGTGGCCCAGTTGCAAAAACTGTGACTTATTGTGAAGAACTGCATCCTTAAACAATGTCAGGATCTGCTGGTCATTGGTTCGAAATCCCAGAACTGACCTTATGATGATCAGATTAATGTAAGATACTTGCATGTTAAAAGAGTTGAAATGTTTTTAGGCATAACAGTGGGACAGTCTGGTCTAAAGTGCCACAACTCACTGTGCAAAGTTGCATAGCAATGACTGGCTTGGCTATTGTAGGTCGAATCCAGAGTCACCCTTATTGATATTATCCTTAGTCTGTTAGTACCTCAGTCGTTTCACCAAAGTGTTAGATATCTAAGACCTCTTCCATTACACTGACTTACCATGATAAGCAAGGGGGGATCCAACATTTTGAAAGGGAGGGGTCCATAATATTTCAGTGGGGTTTGGGGTGGTGGTGGAATTCTCTACAATATACTACATTTGGTTTTAAAGGGGGGGGGGGGGTCCATATCTCAGTAGGGGTTGGGGTGGCGGTGGGATTCTCTACAGTATACTACATTTGGTTTTAAAGGGGGGTCCAAAGTATCAAAGTCATCTCTCAGAGGGGGTTGGGGTGGTGGTGGAATTCTCTACAATATACTACATTTGGTTTTAAAGGGAGGGGTCCAAATTTTCAAAGCCATCTCTCAGTGGAGGGATGAGTTGGGGTGAGGACATTGTCTACTCCAAGACCAATTTGTAAGTATAGTTTTATAAACACCCCCTACTAAGACCTAACATTTACATGACAGTCCACATTTTCTTGTTTATATTACAGATTTTTTTTACAAGAAACAGCAGTTAAGAAGTGGAATATAATTGCCAAGCAATCTTAAAACTTTTAGTTTCATCAATGTTTGAACTAAGGTTGTTCACCATCACTGACAAACTATTTATATTTTTAAAGTGCCCAGGGCACTTATTATGGTAGCTAAAATTGCAGTGTAAAACATGACATTTATCATGTTGTGTTCATCTTTTACTGTATGCCTTCAGCTGTGGTACACGCAGAAACATTCTTCAGTTCTGTCACATTGATTATTAGTTGTGTGGATCCCTTTCCCCTAAGTGATGACATGGATTCGATTGAGGGCAAGGTTAATCCATTGAACGATGGCACCAACCTTTAAGGGGAGATTCTGTTATACTAGACTTTCTGCGCCATTTGTCGATAATGAGACAAAGGACACGCTTAAGTACAAAATGGCTACTGTCATACTTGTCGAGTATATCATGCAGTCAAGGGGTGAACAGACAAGTAGTCTCCAGCCAGGTCTCAGGGCGGTCGGGTACCCTTGTGGTTAAAGCGTTTGCTCGTCACGCCGAAGACCCGGGTTCGATTCCCGACATGGGTACAATGCGTGAAGCCCATTTCTGGTGTCCCCCGCCATGATATTGCTGGAATATTGCTAAAACCATACTCACTCACTCACTCCAGCCAGGTCTTCCTGCTTCTGCTACAGAATGGAGGCCATTTTGTAAGGATAGCGTGTCCTGTGTCACGTGATTAACAACAGGTGGGATCGCTGGACATCTCAAGGACAGAATATGGACTATTGTTTTTTAGCACATATTGAAAATTTGAAAAACAGATCAAGCTGATGGAATACTTATGATTTAATGTCACTTACGTTTTGCTCCTGAGTCTCAATAGAGCCTATTTTGGCCCTACATTAGTGTGCCAGCCTTTTCGTGCCCTGGTAGGTTTTTAAGTACTTTGTGTAAAAACCTGTTCATTATCAGAGAAAGGGGGAGGATATGGAAGTACTGAAGAATAAATAACTTTTTTTATGTGTCCAGATGCATTTTCACACGCGACTTTTTGAATAAAAAACATCATCTTCGGCTTGTTCATATCGTTTATGCGTAGGCTATATATTTTTTGTTAGTTGGTTTCACACTTCAAACTGGTTCAGAAGCTTTCAAATTTGTACAGCAACTAATGATTGAAAACCAAACAAATTTTAACAATGGTAAAATACTGAAAAAGAACTGATTTTTTTTCTTGTTGTTTGAATTGAGATTTGTATACGTATTATTCACCATTTGCTTCAAACAGCGGTGTTAACATCTTGTGTTGGTTTTTTCATTTCACCTAACCATACTAATGGTACAGAACTGGCTCCGAAATTGTTTTTGTCAAAAATCTTTTTACTTCAGGTTTTTTGTCAGCTGGTCTCATATACCACTAAAATCAGTAAAGCCTTATCTGATTGGTTCTTTGGAATGCTGAAGACCCAGGATTGATTCCACACAAGTGTACAATGTGTGAACTGTGCAGACATCTCTCTGTTATCCACACCCTGTGATATTGCTGAAAACAGCTGAATACCCTTCACAAGTTTTGGAATTGCTGTAAGTTATATTCTTATATAACCAATATCCTTGTTTCAAATGTCAAACTCAACACCCAACTTAAGTTTCTGTCATCTCATATGTGATTACAACCATACATGCATTGATGATGTTATACCACTGTAAACATGGTGGTGTATCAGTTGTATGAAGAAGTTATAGATCAATGGTAGGATCTAACACTGACATCATACTGAGTGTAGCTTGCACAGTGAACATCTCATGTAACATAGACTATCATCACAGAGGCACTCTCACTGTGGTATTGATTTTTGCGAGTAAATTTGGATACTGGGCGTTGTTGATTGTCCGCTGGGTAAAGAGCATCAACTTTTGACCACAATCCTTATCTATTGGCTTAATTTGGGGGGCTTTGTCTAATTTTGACCCAAAACTTGGAAATCTCACTCTGACTGAAAGATTTGAACTGAATTTGCGAATGTACACGGTTAACTGAAGTCATGGTAGTGGAATATAAACATTACTAGTTTTGGAGTGAAAGCTGTATGTTTGTAAAAACTTCATAAATGTCAGTTATGATTTGTTTGTTTGTTGTTGGATGCCACACTCAGCGCTATTCCAGCGATGTGATGGCGGTCTGTAAATATTTAAGTCTGGAGCATCATAGGATACGATGACATGCATCAGCTAAGTCAAGAGAGCCTGACCACCCGCCAGGCCTCGTAAGTCGCTGTTAGTTATGTATAAGGAGCAGTAGGTAGCCTAGTGGTTCAAGGGACAGTAAGTCCACGGTTCTGTGTGTTTTTAAATCATGCATGAAATAATTTCCAACCCCCTACTGATGGCACATGTCGGATTCAAGTCTCAACCAAAACAATAGAGCTCTGCACAGTGAAGCCTGATGGTGCAAGCCCTGTGCAGAGTAAACTAGCTTCAGTCTTATTTTTTAATAGGGGCAAATTGTCTTTAGGACGGGTTTCAAAATACTGATTGCCAGCTTCATTAGATTAGAAGCGAGTGTTTGTTATTTA